TTTTTTGCTGCTGAATGATGGTCACTGTTATTGTCATTGTTATTGTGTTCCTTATCAAATTGATCTGTTCACATGATAGAAATGAAAATCCTCGAACATCACCATTTTATCACGTGAATTCGTTCTGAAATCGCTTTTCAAAGTGAAAACTTTTCTTGCAGAAAGTTTGATACGTGAATTTAATTGACTAAAATGGGCACGTACAAGCCGTGGAGTATGTTGGCAATGTACGCGAGTGTTACTGGTTTCATATATATGGAGACCGACGGATTCAGAAAGGATACTCCCTTATTATACGCTATGCCATTGCTACTGTTGGCTGTTTTGACGATTAATCTGAACATGAGATCTTTAACGAAATATCTCACCGCTCTATCGTTCCTTTTGGCTGGTGATTTTTAATTTTTTGTTCATTTAAAATCTTAAGCTTCGTCGCTGTCATTGGAAAACGCGGAATTCACATTAAAACTACCGAAAATTCTTACAATTAAAACTTCTAATGTTTGGCCTAAATTTTATCTATTGCTTGAAATTCTCAAATTGCTCTCTCTAATATCTCAAATCATTGCAACATCTCCAAATTATCGTTTTCATCTCAGAATCTANGAAATATTTAACGGATCCATATCAAGCAGATATATTCAGGTGCATCACTCTATCAACTGGATCGACTCGTGCTGAACTACACGTGCTCTTTGATGACCTTATCACACACCGCATATTTGTTATCATTTATCAGTTGTTTGCGAAAACTCTGGAACGGTCTCGCTTTGGCACTGACTGTCTATGTGGGCGCTCTATCGTACTACTGCTTCGCTGATTTAGTTTACTCAATTCCGTTGTTAATCGTCTTATTGAGTGCTCTTCTCTTGGTACTTTTCGTATCAACTCTGGTCGCTGGATCGATATGGCAGTATGGCTCGAGGCATACTTCTGCGACACAGGTCAGTCACTCTCTTCTCATTTGCATTATTCTGAAAATTCTTACTCTTACTGTGAAATATCCACTGGGGCACGTAAAAGTTGTAAAATCATCATGAAACTCGTGCAGAATCAATTTTTTGCTTCTTTACGAGTCTCTACAAATTCTCTGCATATTTCTCGGATTCAGTTGGGATATCAATCAGTTCCTCCATTCAGATATTGCCGTAATCTCGCCTTATCTCCGCTATTTTCAGGCAGATTTCCTGCGGTTCGTCGGATTAGTCATGGGCATTTGCTGTTGTTCCGTAATGCTACTGAATCGTTTCGCAACGCATCTGAATCAACCACATTATACAATTAAACTTCTGTGCTATATCTCTTACTCCTTACTCTTTTTCGC